CAATGTCCGCTATCCAGACTTTTTTGCCTTTTTTATCAACAGTTGCTGAGTCTGGGCTGTTGTGTGGCAGGTGCTTGTCTGTCTGAATTCTAAAGGCCCAGAGCACTTGAGCGTCTTCATTTTCTCTTGCTTTGTCTGTTTTGGGGTCCCGCCAGTTCCTGCTTGCAGGCAAATGGTATTTCTTGCAGATCTTCCAATGCACCATTGTTGTTGCTATGTTGTGCTGTTGTTTATAGTCAGCCTGTGCGATCTTCTCGCAACTAACTCGGTGGTCCACTGTTTCTTCAGCTTCTTTGCAGAGGCGGTATTTTCTGTCTGTCTGTTGTTGTTATTGCCAGTGTTTTTCTAACTTGGCAACTTTAAGATGTGTGGACTTCAACTCCCAGAATCCCCCCACCAGTTGAAGTCCACCCATGCTGGCTGGAGAATTCTGGGAGCTGAAGTGCAAACCTCAACTTTTTAGGATGCTAAATCTTTTGCAAACCACAAGGCGACTGCAATACTGCCTCATCAGATGAGTTTCTCATATGTTATAGTTAGGAGGGTGAGAAGTCACCCTTAAGCAAAAGTCAGGGCAGATGATTACATTTTTAAAACTATTCTAATATCTTCATGCTGCTGCTATTTTATTGTTGTTATTATCACTTGTAGTACTAATAAATTTGGAGAAGTGGAATCTTGCTTTTCCAGACAAGCAGGACATCTGGGAAGCTGCAACAATGGATTATGATACAGGAACCACTCAAAAACTTTGCCCTTTAAAAGACTGCAGTGTCTCCTTGGATTGTATTGACCTTCTGGAATTCCCTGAGTGGAAGCCTAGCACACACAAAGGGAAGCCACACAGACCTGGCTACAGTCATCCTCTTATCAGGGCCGATGCCGTCCTGACACACACACTCACACTCCACACAAAAGAACCAGGACTCTGACCCAGAACTGCCAGCGTTGGGCACACATGGACCGCACTTCCTTTGCAGGAAGCAAAGGAGAACTTCCCCCAGCAAACACGTTCATACTGAAAGAGTTTCTTGAAGGCATAAAAACCTCTGACAACAATCAGCAGGTTAATCCCGTATAAAGCCTTATGTCACTTTTTTCAGAACGCAAGAAAAATGCTAAGGAATGTCTTGCCCAATGCAGAATCTGATTTCCCACCATGGTCAACCAGGTACCAGTGGCAATCCTGCAAGCAGGACATGAAGGCAAGACATGTTCTTATATTATATTATTAGAAAGAAAACATTCTTACCCATTTCCACCCAGAAGGCATATATTCTACGTATCTGAGGTCTGCCTGCTCCCC